TAATTGTGGCGGCCAGCCACAAATAAATCAATGTATGGGAAACACTGGTCATGTTCAAGCCTGAGACCTGAAAAACAGGTTAAAAAAGTAAATATTAGTAATACTTATTTGATCATTTTTTATTTGGATTAACCCTAACCCTTACCCTAACTTCATCTCTGATGACCTACGTTTTTATGGGATTAGTTTTGTATCATAAAGATAAAGCAACACTTTCTCAGAATAAAAAAAAACTATGAGTTTAAAAGAAAAAATAAATAAATCAAGCAAAATAAAATAAATTTCAAAAATAAAACTATAAGTTGCAAACAAATCATTTGTGTAATCATGTAAACTATAAGTATTTTTTCTTTGTTTTAACATAGGTTTTTGTTTGCAGTTCTTGTTTCTTCTTTCTCAATGATTAGACTTTTGCTCTCGCTGCAGCTTTCTCGTTTGCACTCCCTCATTTTTTGTTTGAGATTTTGACACAAACATTCCAGGTGGGCGGGACTTTCAGGGGTGTGTCCCCATTGGCTACTCAGTTTTTGAGTGACAGCCCAGTCCTCCAGCGATTGTACAGTGCAGGCAGCTGCGGTGCGGTGGCTGCCTGAGTGTGGATAGAACACCCCCAGAAGAACCAGCATTTCAATTATTACTACAAGTGAAAATATATGTAAGTGTTGATCATTTGTGCTGTTTGTGCTGTACTATACGGTCTGTTTCTTTATTGTGGTAAGTGAGAAGTAAAGCTGTGCTATGAAAGTTAGCTTTTGCTACCTTTAGATCCATAGCAATGCAAGCTAAGTAGCCTAAGAGTTAGCTACATAGCTAGCAGTTAGTGATTACACAAATGATTTGTTTGCAACTTATAGTTTTATTTTTGAAATTTATTTTATTTTGCTTGACTCAGTTTTTTTTTCTTTTAAACTCATAGTTTTGCTTTATTTTGAGAAAGTGTTGCTTTATCTTTATGATACAAAACTAATCCCATACATTTTCAGTTAATGTCTGAAATGTCTGAACTATGACTCTAGTTATTGTATTAAACATAATACCCGCAAGAGGATATTCGGTGTGCTGATAGAAAGTAAAACAACTGGAGCTGAATACATCTCTCTTAGGAATCTGAACAGGTTAACTATAAAATACCAGACAGAACAAAAATAAAACAAGTATAATCATCTTGAGATAAATAGGGACATACCTGTGTCATTTTGCTGCTTTATTGTTCAGTAAAAAAAATGCACTTTAAAGACGAGTCTGTACAAGATTGTGTTCATTTTATAAAAGCAATTCATCTTCACACTGTGCAGGAATACTTGCATTAAAGACGTTTGGCAGTTTTTTCCAGGTTCCATAGAGTTTTGGCTTGCACAAAGAATGTCGCCATATGTCTTTTACGAATCTTGAATGAAAGAGTAGGAGCAGGTATTTCCCATTGTTGGAATAGTTAAGGCAACAATTGAAGATCACAAGGTGAAAAAAGGCCAAAGAAAAAGGCAATCCATTAAATCCAGCACAGTTTGAGTTTTTCACTCTTGGAAATGCTTAAGGTCCAACCTTCAGTCTGTAAGAGCTCTGTGTTTTCTGTGTTTCCAGAGGCAATCAGGCTTCACCATGGTTTTCCCAGCCTAGGGGGGAACAAAATACACACAATCAATGAAATATCTTTCAGTGTTTTTTCCAGTGTTTTTAAATTAGTGATTGGCTGACTGTGTGGTGGCATTGGTGCTCAGGTAAGTGTGTCTTTATTTTACCTTCGCCCTCATCAAAATCTCATGCTGAATGGTTGTTTTCTGAGTGTTGCTGTGTGTGGTCCGACCAGCTCTACTGCTTCTTGGCCGGCACACTGGATTTCTGCTGGACCACAGAGAATACTACTGAAGCAGCACAGTATTCACTTGTAGCTCCCATTCTTATCTGAAAAAACAAACAAACAGTGAACCAGGTTGAATTTAAAGGCAGCAAAGAGAAACGTAGACAATGTCTTTAAAATGATTGACAGCACCAGTTGGTTCCCGAGAAAGCCGGGTCAAATACATGTATTATTTACCTGATCAAGGTGATCATCATGTTGTGTATTTTTTCTTTGGAAGACGTTTCATCTCAACGTCCATCGGCCTCAGTTGGCACCTCGGTTGAAGTGCTCCAGCACGGTGGCGTTGGTTTTCTCAAAGAGCCACTGCTGGCTGAGAGAGGACGGGTCGCACGTGTTCATGAAGACCCGTCGCTCACTCGGGCTGCTGTCCATACAGCTGTTACTGACGGGGTGGTAGAGACTTTTATCCTGGAGGAAGGAGAGTAAAGAAAGAACAGCCCTATTCATACAGAGGATGTATATTGTTGTTCTTGATGTAACTTGAAGCATTATCTTCTCACAAATGTTAACAATTTGTTCCACTGTGATTATTAAACCATTTAATCCCACTCAACCCATACTTCTTTCAAAAACATTATCCATTTTTTTTCCATAATAGTGGTTGTTGTTTTATTTTATAATGTATTTTCTGTTCCTGGACCATGGTCTTATATTTGATATTAGAAATAAAAAATCAAACCAAAACAAAGAAAAAGGCCATCAAATAGTGAAGAAACAAACTAAAAAAGATTACTTTACAGAACTTTAGGTAATATTTTGAGTTTGACAAGAATACCTCTGGAGCTTGTGAAAGGACATGAGGTCAGGATTTAGCTCAAATGTTTAATTCTGTGCGGAAAAAAAAACTATAAAAAGAACAACTGGCATTCCTCATACCTTAAGTCTGGTTTGATCTACACCAACTTCTAAGGAAAAGATTTCCCTCTCGCTGCTGAATGTGTATATATGTACAGAAATAGATTCCCCAGAATTGTTCTGTTATACACAACAACAAAAGCAGCCAAAAGGATAAGCTGAACGATGGTAGAATCACATCACATACTGGCTTTAAAGAAACAGGAACAGGGGCAGGGTAACGTCTGCTGTTTATGCATCCTGGAATTTGTTTGCACATTCATTCATTACAGTAAATGTTTACCAGATGGCCAACATTATGATGAAATTAGTAATTGACTGACTCAAATTATGCTTAGATGACCACAGAAATCACACCAGCAGAACTGTTAGAAGGCTGACAACAGGATGCAGCTGCAAATTAAAAAAAATGCACTTTCCTCTTCATACCTCTCTGTAGCGCCACAGCTGGTTGCCCTTCATGCCGTGACAGTCGTACAGGGTGACAAGGCTGTTGTGAGAGACGGCATCGAAGCAGACCTTCCTTGTGTGCATGGGGTCACCCACCCGAATATCCTCCCTCCAACCAAATGTTAACACCTGCAGGGAACACATCTCAACTGTAAAAAAAACATCACACTGTTTTCTTCCTCTGTTGCTCTTTCCACATTTTCCATTTGCCCCATCACAGTGTTTCCATGTGGAATTTTCCTGATTTGAATTGAGGATATGAGGCTAGTGTGGGACATGTGGTACAGATTGTAAAGCAAGCTGAATTAAATCAAAGTGATTGGGGTCAAACAATCTGCCAATCACCTGTCCATGGCTCCAGGCCACCTCGCCCCGCCCTTTCACACAGCTCTCCAGGCGGATGGGGCTTCCTGACACAAAGTGCTTGATCTCCATGCACATCCCACTGGCCATATTCCGTATCTACAAAACACATACACAAAATCACGTGGAGCCTCAAAAAACCACAGTATAGGTCCCATTAAATATGTTAATCATTCCAGCCACTACTTCAGCATTTACTTGCCAGCATCGGTCCCAACCTGACGCATGGATTTATCACAGATCCCATGCGTTGATGTGTGCTAGGGCAGGGGTTCCCACACTTTTCAGCCAGAGACCCCCAAAATAACAGTGCCAGAGACTGGCGACCCCCCACCACGTGAATTGTCAACGGGGGGGGCCTCGCTACGGGGACATTCTACAGATGGCCAGTCCGCCCCTGAGAAATGTCTATGCACACGTTATGATTAATAATAAGGTAATACTTTATATTAAGGTACACAAATTAACCATCAACTAGTTGTTAATTAACATGCATACTAGCAGTATATTGGCTCTTTATTAGTCATTATAAAACATTTATTAATGCCTTACTCTACATGACCATATTCTACAAGTATTAAGCCATTAGTTGAGAGTTTTTCCTCAATAACCCTCTAATTAGTGCTTATTGATTGTAAGTAAGGAAGTAGTAACATGAGTTTTGGTCTTCATTTGCTCAATATGGGCCTAATAAGGCAGTAGTACCACATGCATAGTAATTATCCAGTAATAACACTTAACAAATATGATCTCTTCTTATGTGACAAGACATNAGAGTTTTTCTTCAATAACCCTCTAATTAGTGCTTATTTATTGCAAGTAAGGAAGTTGTTGTACATGACCTTTGGTCTTAATATGCTCTGCTCAATATGGGCCTAATAAGGCAGTAGTATCACAAGAATAGTAATTCTCCCATAATAACACTAAACAAATATTCTTAGGTAACAACACATGAAACTATAAGTGTTAATTGCTTCTAAATAACTCAAAATGTGGTATTTATATCTAAGAATACGTTTTGGGGTATTGACAGTTCAGCTACCAATAGCAAGGTGATATTGACCTGTATGTTTCATATTTGCAATATTTTTGTAAAATGTGTACTGAAGGTTAGACAGGAAACCAGGTACAGGAAGTAGGAGAAAGTGAACTGAATAGCATGGCAGTAAACTACTACTAATTTT